GCTTAGCTTAGCTAGCTTAGCTTTAGCTTAGCTTTAGCTTAGCTTTAGCTTAGCTTTAGCTTAGCTTTAGCTTAGCTTTAGCTTAGCTTCAGCTTAGCTTTAGCTTAGCTTTAGCTTAGTGTTAGCTTAGCCTTAGCTCAGCTTTAGCTTAGCTTTAGCTTAGCTTTAGCTTAGCTTTAGCTTAGCTTTAGCTTAGCTTTAGCTTAGCTTCGGCTTAGCTATAGCTTAGCCTCAGCTTTGTGTTAGCTTAGCTTTAGCTTAGTGTTAGCTTAGCTTTAGCTTAGCTTTAGCTTAGCTTTAGCTTAGCTTTATCTTAGCTTTAGCTTAACTTTAGCTTACATTTAGCTTATCTTTAGCTTAGTTTTAGCTTAGCTTTAGCTTAGCTTTAGCTTAGCTTCAGCTTAACTTTAGCTTAGCTTCAGCTTAGCTTTAGCTTAGCCTTATCTTAGCTTTAGCTTAGCTTTCGCTTAGCTTTAGCTTAGCTTTAGCTTAGCTTTAGCTTAGCTTTAGCTTAGCTTTAGCTTAGCTTTAGCTTAGCTTTAGCTTAGCTTTTGCTTAGCTTTTGCTTTAGCTTTAGCTTAGCTTTAGCTCAGCTTTAGCTTAGCCTTAGCTTAGCTTCAGTTTAGCTTTAGCTTAGCTTCAGCTTAGTGTTAGCTTTAGCTTAGCTTTAGCTTAGCTTCAGTTTAGCTTTAGCTTAGCTTTAGCTTAGTGTTAGCTTTAGCTTAGCTTTAGCTTAGCGTTACTGTTACTACTAATGCTGCTTTCCTAGGGGCTCCAACTCCTAGGTAGGGTCGCACTGGGATAATTTCAACATTTTCATGACATGCTACCAAGAGGGCTTCGCGCGCACGCATGTTGAAATCGTTCGAGCGCCCTTGCGCGCGTGCTGGGGTGGCACGATCCGTGTCGAATATACCATGCGAGCCACTCTCGCGCGTCTGCCGCGCGCGCATTTCGAATTCCTTCGAAATTCCCTACCTAGGCTCTGCCTAGAAGGGTTCTTACTCTCTAGCTTAAAGGGGCCGGGCAGTGGAAAGCGCCCCGGGCGGTTCCCCCAGTCCCCGCCCCGCGGTTCCCCCCAGTCCCCTGGGAGCTTTAGCTTTAGCTTAGCTTTAGCTTTAGCTCTTTAGCTTAGCTTAGCTAGCTTAGCTTAGCTTAGCTTAGCTCGCTTAGCTTAGCTAGCTTAGCTTTAGCTTAGCTTAGCTTAGCTAGCTTAGCTTAGCTTTAGCTTAGCTTAGCTAGCTTCAGCTTAGCTTTAGCTTAGCTTTAGCTTAGCTTTAGCTTAGCTTTAGCTTAGCTTAGCTTTAGCTTAGCTGTAGCTTAGCTTTAGCTTAGCTGTTGCTCAGCTTTAGCTTAGCTTTAACTTAGCTTTAGCTTAGCTTTAGCTTAACTTTAGCTTAGCTTTAGCTTAGCTTTAGCTTATCTTTAGCTGTGGTTTAGCTTTAGCTTAGCTTTAGCTTAGCGTTACTGTTACAACTAATGCTGCTTTCCTAGGGGTTCCAACTCCTAGGTAGGGTCGTACTGGGATAATCCTTTATCACCGACGCGAAAACGCCGTCATCGTCGTCGGCGTGATCAGCATCGGCGCCGTCACCGGTTGCCCCGTCGTCGCTGTCAGCATCGCCACCAGCATCGCGACCATCATCATCGTGTCTACCGTTGTCGACGTTGCCACGATACCGCGCCCGCCCAAGTCGCCGACTCGCACTGCAGTGCCCGCTGGGATGTGCCAGGCGGTCAGCGCCACCGCGTTCGTGTCGGCCGCGCCAAACTAGTTGGGCCGCTGCGCGCGCGCGAGCATGCGCGGGCTAGCGCGGCCGCGCAGATGTACCAGCCGACACCCAACACTCATCGCAGTCGTTCCCGCATGGGTTTTGCAAACCACGTTGCGGGTGGGTGGGTGGGATGATTGCGCGAGCAATTGAGTTGACATCTTCAAGTTCAGCGAGTGAGTTACACCACTTAGATTCCACAGCGTAGCTTGCCCCACATCTGGCATCACCCACGCGGTGTAAGCTACGCGATGTGAGAAACGTGGTGCAGGCTAAACCATGCAACGTACGTCGTGCGATCATCAAAGGGGCCCGGGAGACGCCCGCGGCCGCGCACTTGGCGAAGCCGCGGCAGCCTTTGCCAGCACACGGGGCGCCACCGAGGCGCCCGCGAGGCGCCCATGGCCGCCCACCAGGCGAAACCTCGGCAGACCCATCCAGCCCAGCCGGGCGACAACTCGGTGGACCCAGCCTGCGCACTGGCCGCCCACGAAGCGTCCTCACGGCCGCCCAGCTGGCAAAACCTCGGAAAGACCGCGTTCTGTGGTCGCTTGGAGGGACGTGGGGGTTCGGAACCGGACCCCCCCCCTGGATGGAGCCTCGATGGAGGGGGGAATTTCGAGCCGCCCCCTTGTCCCGTGACGGAAAGGGGGGAGGGTTCAAACCCGCCTCCCCCCCTCCTCCACTATTTCTCCTCTCTGCGTGTCCTGGGGCCGGCGCCGGCGTCGGCGGCGGCTGGCGGCGGCGGCGGGGGTGTTGGTGGTGGTGGCAGTGGCAGTGGTGGTGATGGTGGTGTGGTTTGTGGTGGTTGTGGTGGTGGTGGTGGTGGGTTGTGCTGCTGGTAGTAGTGGTGGTGGTTGTGGCAGAGGTGGTGGTGGTGTGGTAGATTGTGGTGATGGTGGTGGTAATGGTGGTGGGTTGTTGTATTGGTGGTGGTGGTGGTGAGCTGTTGTGGTGGTGGCTGTGGTGGTGGTGGCTGTGTAGTGTTTTGGTGGTGAAGGTGGTTGGTTGAGATGGTGATGGTGGTGGTCGTGGTGGTGGTGGTGGTGGCGTGGAGGTTTGGTGGTGGTGTGGCGGTGGTGGTGATGATGGTGGTAATGGTGAGATGGTTTGTGGTGGTGGTGGTGGTGGTTGTGGTGTGTTGTGGTGGGTTGTGGTGGTGCTGGTGGTGGTGGCGTTTTTGGTGGTGGTGGTGGTGGTGGTGGTGAGGTGGTAGTTTGTGGTGATGGTGGTACTTGTGGTGATGGTGGATTGTGGTGGTTGTGGTGGTGATTGTGGTGGTGGCGGTGGTGGTGGTATGGTGGTCTGTGGCTGCGGCGGTGTTGGTGGTGGTGGTGGTGTGGCCTTCGGCTCTTCCCGCCATTGTGTTTTGGCAAAGGGTCAGAGTTCTAATGGATGCCTCTTGAGGTCTCGTCAGAAGTGTCTCGGGGGCGTTTGAGGAGTGCGAGGGCTCGATATGGCGATTTGTGTGTTCCCTCTGCGGCCTCTGGGTCCTCTCTGGTCATCGTCGCTGCGTCCCCGCCGTCGGCGCTGCTGGCCGCCGCCAGCGCCGGCGCCGGCGCCGGCGCGGGGGTGGGGGGATTGAACCCCCCCCTCCTCCTGGGCCCTCTCTGGGCGGCGCTCGGGCCAGCGCCGGCGCCGGCGCCGGGTGGGGGGAGGGGGGGGGGTTCGGGGGGGGGGGGGGTTAGGGGGAGGAGGGTCCCCCTGGTTCTGATCGACGGCGCTGAGTGTTGGGGGGGGGCCCACCCCCCGCTTCGAAACGCGCCGCCGAATGTTCCCAAGGCAAGCGCCCGTGAAACGCGCTTTCTCCAACCTCGGCAGACCCTAAGTGCAAGAATTTTGTCATGAGTATGTATGTATGTATATGTATATGCATGTAGATATATAAATAACACACACACATAAATATATATATATATATATATATATATATATATATATATATATTATATGAGTGTATAGAAGCCGTAAGAGAACCAGAAAGGTGCCAACGATCTCGCTCAACCCCCTCTTCGATCCTCCTCGATTCCCCCCCGCTCCTGGGTATCCGTTTCCCCCCGACCCCCCTGCCCGAGCATCCCCCATCTTCCCCGATCCTCCCCCTTGGATCCTCCCCGATGCCCCCTCCGATTCCCAATGTGATCCTCCTCGATTTCCCCCTCTCCCCGATCCTCGATCCCCCATCTTCGCCCCTCTTCGATCCTATCCGATCCTGGATCCCTTCTCCTCCTCCCTCCTCGACCCTCCCCGATCCCCGATCCACCTCGACCATCGGCCCTCCCAGCGGCGCGCCCAGGGGGGAAGGGCAGAGGGGGCGGGCCTTCTCAGGAGAAAATGCCCGAGCATCTTCCGAAGACGCCGACGGCTTCTCTGAAGGTGCGGCGCGGGCTTCCGAGCAGCCCCGCAGGTCCTCTGAGAAGGCCTGCGCCCGTCCCCCCCAGCGCGCCGCCGATCCCCTCCTCCTCTCCCAAGAGGGACCCCCAGGACCGGCTCTTCACCCCGAGGGGGCCCGGCGGGGCTCCAGAGACGGTGGTCGACGCGAACGGATCTTGCAGGATCCTGCAGGGCCAGGGTCGCATTGACCCGGGTTTGGGTGCAGGACCCTGCATGATTTTGCAGGATCCTTCGCATTGACCCGGGCTTGGGTGCAGGATCCTGCAGGGTCTTGCAGGATTCTGCAAGGCTTCACTGACCCGGGTCTGGATTGACCCGGGCCAGGAGATCCGCGAGCCCAGATTGGGCCCCCAGTTGTCGACAGTTGCCGACAGCTGTCCGCCGTGCCGTCTTCCTAAGAGGAGCCCCAAGAGCCGACTTCGCGAAGCAGTCGTGGCATCGTGGAAGCCACGGCCAGGGCGCCAGACCCCACCCTTCTGCTGCATCTTCCGAGCCGCACCGATCCGTGAGGGTCCAGGGGCCCGAACCTGCACGCGACCTCGCCCGGCTCGAAAAGCAAGGCGACGCCAGGAACATCGGGGAGGCGGAGATCCTCCTCCTCCTCCTCCTCCTCCTCCTCGTCCTCCTCCTCCTCCTCCTCCTCCTCCCTCCCCCCCCCCTCCTCCTCCTCCTCCTCCCCCTCCTCCTCCTCCTCCTCTTCCTCCTCCTCCTCCTCGCTCCTCGCTCCTCGCTCCTCGCTCCTCGCTCCTCCTCCTCCTCCCCCGCGCCCCAGCAGCCGATTCGGTGAGCCGCCGCGCTCCCGGCCCAGCCCGGGCGGCCAGCCCCCCCCCGCAG